ACAGCACACGTCACGACCTACTAATCCCAGTGGTGTCATGGTATTGAAACAAACCACTGTTACACATGAGAAAAACCCGCCAACACCGTGTTGGTTTTGTGGCGAGTGGCATTATGCACGTTTCTGTCCATTCAAGAAGCAACAGTGCCAGACGTGTAATCGGTGGGGCCACAAAGGTTTCTGCCGTACCCAAAAACCAAAAGATCTTCGACAGTCCACTCAGCAACACAGTCAAAAAGCAACCGAACAAGAAACGTCCGCAGTCCAGATCTGTGTTTGCAACATTCCAAGTTGAATTTGAGTCTCGAAGGAAATGCCTTACAGTTTCCATCAACGAAGTTTCAATCCGTCTGCAGCTCGACACAGCTTCAGATATTACGTTGATCTCACGTTCCAATTGGGAGTTGATAGGAAAACCCGTTGTGTCGTTTACAAAGCATCGGGCCAAAAATGCATCTGGCAGTACACTACTACTGACTGGCAAGTTAGCCTGTAATGTATCATTCAACAATCTATAGTTCTCATGAACTTGGTATCTCACTGATTGTCCTAATTTGAACATTCTTGGACTTGATTGGATTGAGAAACATGACCTTTTTAGTGTACCCCTGACATCTGTGAGCAGTGCTTTACGACTATCGTGCCCTTCAGATATTGTGAAACATTTCACAAACACTCTCACGACTTCAAGACAAAATTCGACGGTGTCTTCAAAGGTGGCCTTGGATGCTGTACGAAAATCAGGGCAAGCATCAAACTCTGACCCGATTCCAGACCAATTGACCGAAGCGTCCCGTTCCGTTTGCCGCTCTCACGACCGTGGAAAATGAACTTGTTCGTCTCCAACAGTTCGGAGTTATTCAGCCAGTGAATTATTCGTCTTGGGCTGCTCCTATTGTTGTCGTCAAAAAGGCAAATGGCAAGGTACGCGTATGTGCTGACTATTCAACTGGACTGAATGCCATACTTGAGTCCCATCAATATCCATTACCTCTTCCAGATTTGTTCACCAAGCTCAATGGTGGTAAATGCTTTGGAGAATTCCGATTCTCCCGGAGTTGCCGCACACTTAGATTACATCATCATCGCTGGTGCCAATCAATACGAACTACTACATCGATTATATTGTGTGCTGGAGCAAATTCAACGATATGGTTTTCGTCTCCGTGCTGAAAAGTGTGAATTCTTCCTCGCCTGCATTAAATACCTGGGATTTATCTTTGACGAAAATGGTCGTCGTCCGGACCCAGAAAACATTTCTGCCATACTTCAAATGCCAGCACCGATAAATCTAACAACTCTACGTTCGTTCCTTGGCTTGGTCAGCCATCACAGCACTTTTCTACCAGACATGCATCGTGTCCGCCATCCACTAAATCACCTTCTACAAAAAGATGTTTCACGGAACTGATCACACGATTGCCAACCTGCATTTGATAACGTGAAGTCACAACTTAGCTCTAACTTAGTTCTCACGCATTATAATCCAGCTCTGGACATTACTGTGGTTTCAGACGCATCCTGTTATGGTATTGGAGCAGTTATCTCTCACGTGTTCCTTGATGGAAGTGAAAAAGCAATAACCCATGCAGTCAGATCCCTGACAGTTACCAAACGCAATTATGGACAAATTGAAAAAGAAGCTTTAGCTATAATTTTCGCCATCAAGAAGTTCCATAAAATGCTATATGGTCGTCATTTCATGCTCATCACCGATCATAAACCACTTCTTGGTATTTTCGGATCAAAGGGTATCCCCGTGTACACAGCAAATCGCTTGCAACGCTGGGCAACAATGCTCTTGGGCTACGACTTTCCATCAAATACCAAACAACTGATGCAATGGGCCAGGCTGACGCATTAACAAGGCTAGTGGATTCTCAGCGTCCACAACTCGAAGATGCGGTTATCGCATCAACAACAGCGGAACCGGAAGTAAATACTGTGCTTACTGCAGCAATCCGCGCTTTACCAGTCACTTCTGCTATGGTTCGCGACGTCACTTTTCGTGATCCATTACTGAAAAAAGCAATACATGTTCACTGCCCACACTGGCCTCTAGTATGCCCAGATAGAGATTCAGCCGTTCTACCAACGCCAATCTTCGGTCTCCCAGGTCGATGGTTGTCTGCTGTTTCGATCGGTCCATCTTCTAGGTGCGCAACTTTTGGAAATTGCTGGTTCATTCATCGGCTCCGGAGATTTTGGCTTTTGAGCTAACTCAAATGCGTTGAGAAGAATCTCAAGTGGAAGAACAGAGTCGAGTGTAGGTGCCGCTGGAATATAGGAAGCGCGTAGCTGATTGGCATGACGGACCCAGATAGAGGAGCCTACATTTACTTCATAGACAACTCTTCCGGCACGGCGCACAACTATGCCTTGTGTCCACTTTCCGCGCCACCACGATAGTCCTTCGCGAGCACAGATTGGCCGGGCAGAAATATATTATTTACAGCACCGTGATGTCGGTTGAAATGAACTTCCATAATTATGTTTTTACTAGTTGGCGAATGTGGTGTTGGACGGATGACGTCAACGGGTAAGCGGGTCGTCCGGTTCATAAGTACCTCCGCCCGTGACTAACCATGTGGAGCGTTGAAATTTGGTGC